CTTTTGCACGTGACCACAGGGCTCCGAGCACCAATCGCAGCCCACCTCTCAGTCGCTCCCCCGCCCCTGCCAGGCTTCTGTCTGGCGCCCAGCTGGAAATTCAGAAAATACCAGACATTGCACATGTCTGGTATTTTCTGAATTTTTTTATCGGACAGAGGGTGCAAATACTGGACTGTCGGGTAGAAAACCGGACACCTGGCAACCCTAGGGTGGAGCTTCTGAAGTCTTTGTCCCCAAATCCCTCCAGAGAGAACCGCCAGCTGTTCTGAACAACTGGTGGTTCCCTCTAGGTGCCAGTGCCCCTGGCGGTGACATTGCACATGTCTGGTATTTTCTGAATTTTTTTATCGGACAGAGGGTGCAAATACTGGACTGTCGGGTAGAAAACCGGACACCTGGCAACCCTAGGGTGGAGCTTCTGAAGTCTTTGTCCCCAAATCCCTCCAGAGAGAACCGCCAGCTGTTCTGAACAACTGGTGGTTCCCTCTAGGTGCCAGTGCCCCTGGCGGTGGGAAGAGACTTTGCACGTTTCCCCCGCCCCAGAGAAATCAGGGCCTGGGAGCATGGGGAACAAATGAAGGCTCTCGCTCCCTGCTGCACTAAGCGATGCATGCCCCTTGTAGGGCAGGAGGAGACTTCACACGCTCCTCCGTCCCCAGGCCCTGACTGGCCTCAGGGCAGGGGAGCGGCAGGACGTCCACAGGCTGGATCAGCCTGCTTGGCGGGGTGGATCTGGCCCACAGAGGCTCTCTTGCCCATCCCTGTACTACAAGCTGAGCTCTCTGGGTATGTCTGTTCTGCTGCTTTCCAGGCCTGGCTCACAGACTTGCTCTTTTTAGTGTGGATATTGCAGCTTGGGTTGCAGACTAGGCTGTCAGGCCTAGGAGCTGCCATGTCATGCTTAGCCACTTCCTTTCTGTGCATTCACACCTGCATAAAACTGGAGATTTCTGGGGATGCCCTTCTCTGTTAGCTGACAAAATGGGCTTTAGGCATAATTGATTAAAAATGTAATAGATGGATGACCTGTTTTTAAATGGTACTATCGCTACTTTAGTTTTTTACAGTATGCGCCAATCACTCTGCTCTTTTAATATTTACATTATGAAGATGATTAATTGTTGTGGTAAACTAGCAAACATATGGCAGTAAATAAAACAAATTCTTGCTACCTATGGTATTTATAAACTTTCTTCTGTTTGTTCATTCATAGCAGCAAATAGAGCGGCAACTAAAATGCTTAGCATTTCAAAACCCAGGACCTCAAGTAGCCGACTTCAATCCTGAAACCAGAGAGCAGCAGAAGAAAGAGCGTATGGCCAAGATGAACCAAGATTTTTTTTATAAACACAAGTAAGATGGTGCCTTTGATTTATTTAGATATGCCTTTTGAAATTGAGACGTTTACTCAACATGCATAAAAATAAAGGTTTTCATAGACCGTGTTAAAATGTAACTCTTTAGGGGTATGTCTACACTACAAAGTTAATTCCACCTAACAGACGTTAATTCGAATTAACTTTGATAGGCTCTATACTAGTAAACCGCTAGTCGAACTTAATTCAAACTAGCGGAGTGCTTAATTCGAACTAGGTAAACCTCATTCTACGAGGACTAATGCCTAGTTCGAATTAAGTAGTTCGAATTAAGGGCTGTGTAGCCACTTAATTCGAACTAGTGGGAGGCTAGCCCTCCCCAGCTTTCCCTGGTGGACCCTCTGGGCACCACCAGGGAAACTCGTTTGCCCGCCTCCCAGCCCCGGAGCCCTTACAGGGGCACCGTCTAGATACAGTGCCCATGCCAGGTGCAAGCCTGCCAGCACCCAGCCAGCAGACCCTGCACCTGGCATGGCATGAACCAGCCACCCGCTGCCACCCAGCCCTCCGCCTCTTCCCGGGACCAGGCTGGTGGCTCCCAGGAGCCCGCCCCGGGCCACAAGA